AGACCGGGCCGCGGGGGCGTTGACCCCCGAAACTCTCTCCAGGTAAACTCCAGGTACTTTAAGTCTCTCTCATTCTCTCTCTCTCTCTCTCTCTCTCTCTCTCTCTCTCTCTTCTCATGATGGTCCCAAATTCGTGTGCAGCAAACTGGTAAGATGCTCCTAAATATCATTAACATTTATTTGTTCGAACTCATCAGTACAAATAAATCAGAGTAAATGTTGAGCAGATTTTAAATAAATATTCTAAATATATCGACAAGAATGAAGCTTCAAGAAAGACAAAACACGAAAAAGATAACGATAGTTAAGCTGGATGATGAAACAGCCAGTTGAATTTATAGGAAATAAGCATAAAACCTATGCAAAAAATTAAAATTGGTAACATTGGAGATTACACGAACTAAATACACTTATTGAGAAAATGGAATCCAAAAATTAGAAATCCTATTCAAGAATTTGAACGAATGATCGAAGGTAATCCAAAAGGAATTCTTTGGAAACATCAGGGAAGAGAACGAATGGGTTTGTAGTGATAAAAAACATGTATAGAATCTTTAGTAAGTAAGTTTATTCAGGTATACACAAATACAGTTACATAGAATTATACATAGTTCCCCACTACTACCACCACTACTACTACTACTACTACTACTACTACTTCTACTTCTACTACTTACTACTATACCAACCACCACTACTCTTCCTGCGTATATAGCCGTCTGCTCCACTTTGCGTTTGTGTGACTTTGTAAATGGTCGAAGTCGGACCGAACCGTCGCCGTAAGCTCCTCTCTTCTAGTGCGGGTTTTTTGTGTATCTGTTCCAGTCTCGGTATGTGCTTTTTTTATTATTTATACATACGCCCTCGCTATATGTGTAGAGAACCTAGACAGAGTGACTTATTTCCACTGGGGTCCTTTAACTAGAAATAACGGCTGAATAATAATAACGGGGCACTACATAGCAGTTCCGATCAATGCAGAGTTCGAGTCCATATTTACAGTTAAAAATGACAACAACTTTCTCTGACTGCATTTCTGATTTTTATTTATTGCCCTCGACAGCAGTATTTATTAAATGTCGAGAAAACAAAATCTAATAAACAATTTTATTACTGAGATAATGTTGATAGAAATACCGACAAGGTTAGGTAAAAGGACAAAAGTGTAATTAATGTGATATTTCATTGTGGTAAAGTTTCGCTCTCCAGGAGCTTGATCAAGCTGTGGAGAGCGAAACGTTGCCACAATAAAGTCACATTAGTTGCACTTGTGTTCTTTTACCTAACTTTATAAAATGGAGTAAAATATACAACTGACATTAGAGTAATTGACATGAGTAAAATATTTATAAAAAGCCTCTTGCTAGGCTGAGTGTTCTGGACAACCTTAGAATTAACTTAAAATTACTAAACAATGAGACAAATACAGTAGTTTACTTTAATGTTATAATTTGCCATATTTGACATCGAAATACTGTAGCAATTTGGCATATGAATTAAATTATTTTGAGGATAATACACACTGTTGAAACAGATAGCACAGGAGTTCTTAAGTTTTTTACGATTACGGACCTCTAGTGTTGGCCAGTATATCCTCATACCCTCTTCACCAGATTGACGAAATCATTCTCATCATCACCAGTCCTATTAAGTAGCAGTATGACTTAAAGATGCCTTTAGCTTGGTTTTACTTTCCATGTGGATAGCTTGGAACAGAACAGCTATAAGAATTTGATTATATTTTCAGAGAAACAGCATACCCCATCATTTGGTTCCCGTATCCTCAAAGGATATGTATACCCCTAGTTAAGAATATCTGAGATACACGATAGTGGGAACATCAGCATGAGTGCTAATGTGATTTGGGTCAAGAGAAATGCAACTGGTATACATTTTTAAACGTAATTTGCCTAAGCAGAGTTTGTCAGATTTAGGAAGTGCTCTCTGATAAAATTTTCGAAGCAGGCGACTGAAGGACAACTTGACAAATCTTCTGAAAGGGAGTTTTAAGTTTTAGGGCCCTGTATTTGTTCGGGAGTTCCTACATAGACCAAGTTGAACGTGCATTATGCCAAAATGATGCTTACTTCTTGTACTGTACGTGTTTTGTTGCAGCTCTCCAGAAAGAGTCGGAGCGCTGGGTTGAAGTTGAAGAAGGTAAGATGCCAGTTGACTGGAAACTAGCAAATGTTACCCTATGTTAGCAATGAGGGGCAAGACTTATCCCATCAGCTATTGTCCCATCAGCTTATTGACAAGAACAAGATAATTAATCAGCTTAATAACGGAAGCAGAATAGTTATCTTTCTGAAAATAACCTATTAACTGGAAACTGACATGGATTCCAAAGCAAAAGATAATGCTTGATTAGCTTACCTGAATTTCCCAATTACTGTATATATACAAAAATTGGTATTGAAAGGTCCCATCAGATGAAATATATCTAGATTTCCAGAAGGCCATCGACAAGTACTCTGTCGATGGCTGGTGGGTAAATATCTGTTGGAAAAAGCATTGCCTTGCAGATCAGGTGTAATATGTTTCTGTGGTGCTCCGGTAAAGAATGACTTTCTTCAATGATCAAGAGGTTGGTCCAGTCCTCTTCGCAATTATAAATGATCTCGAGGTAGGACCCAAAGGAAATAAGTCACTCTGTCTGACTTTTTTGGGTTATCCCGGTTCCTCTACACATATGCTGCTATGTATCATTATTCTAATGTAATGTATTTGTTGTAATACCTGAATATACTATACTTACTTACTTACTTTTTTAGATAACCACATTTGCAATATGACATAAATTGGGGAAAAGTGCAAATTCTGAGAAGTTTGAGTATTCGAATGATCTGGACGTCGAGAGTCGGGATAAGTTTCAATTTAGACAAGTGCAACGCCATTGTACTTGGGCCCAAATATCTCAAACACGAATACAGTTTCACAGCTTTTTCTCGACCTGTTTTTCTACTCGGGTGGAGAGGTGGCTAGGAATCCTGGATTACAGGAGACCAACGCACAAAATGGTTTAATGCACTTTTTATTACCATCCAAACAAGAGGATCGGTTGGGTGTTATGATTGGTATTTTTCTTCGGGTTTCCAAGATTTCAGGCCCACGATCTTAAACGAAGAATATGAATACATTTAATGGTCTTTCCTGCAGTTGGTTCCCTCCACACTATTTGAACGACTACAGAAATAAACTCACACGATCCCTCAACAACATGGAACATCACAAACCAAAAATACATGGTTTCTAATGAAAAATAAGTTCACCAACGCCGATACGTCTAATTAAGATCTAGAAAAAAATACAAACAAACAACGATATAAAACACCAACACAGGCTCGTTTATAAGTCATCATAGGTGAAACACCAAGAACACTAACTCAGATTTCAAGAACACCTAAACGCCTGTACAAGGACGATCCAAAACAAGGTCAGCGTACTTGCACAGGCATGACAGAAGGACCACATCACGAAGTTTCATGTGTAGCCAACTATTAACTGCCGATAAAGATTTGCGAAGACCCCGGCCGTGTAGAAGCAACAATGAGAGCAACACCATTCCGCAGCAGCCAAGAGGCTAACAGAATATACATAATCTTGGGCAAACTTTATGTTACCAATTATTAATAACGCCTGTAGATATTACATCAACACATGGGAACTCTGCTGGAGGTTACCAACCAACTCAACTCTCATTTGTCCAACCTTTTGAGTCAATCCAAGTATTAACTTGTCGTTACTCCACTCCTACAGGTCATACCATACCACGGCGGGATTGAACCGCGGTCAGAGTCTCATAAAACTCCAGCCCGTCGCGTTTAGGCCAAGACCAGCTAGCCACAATAAGATTCGTCCAACTAGGTATTATTTTACACTCATAGAAAGGTTTGCACAGGCACCACTGTGACCACAAAAGACAAGTTTTCACAGACCAACTCAGCTAGCGTGGGCCGTGACGAACTCTAGTTCATGTCCCTTCACTGCGTCAACATGACTCACGAAATTTATGACACGATTGCAAACAAACCTTACCCCCGGCCGGGATTGAACCCGCGGTTCAGGAGTTGGACGACTCTTATTGTGGCTAGCTGGTTAGTGGCTAACGCGACGGGCTGGTGTTTTGTGACTCTCTGACGCGGGTTCAATCCCAGGCCGGGGGATGGTTTGTTGCAATTCGTGTATACGATTTCGTTGACTCTTACAGGTCTTCTCAAACCTTACTCAATCTCATTCTCTCTTGTGCAAGCTATACTTCTGTTCCACTCTGTATTCGTAAATATAACAATAGTACATAATTGACAAATAGATAAAGACGCACGTGCAAAATTTAGGCACATTTTTTGAGAACGTTTCGCTTATACTGTGGTTTCTGCAGTTAAATCCAGAGGAAACAGCGAACTTGTTTCAGTGGAAAGCTTTTATAAAATTGATGTAACTCATCCAACACCCTTGGGGTAGTAGTTCTGAGGTGGTCAGTCCCTCAGCCTGGAGAAGAGTTCCAACTCCATAGTCTGGACAATGTCTGGCCATACTGCTCCCGCTGCCTCCTCTGTATTCGACTGATGAAGCCTTCTCTGGCAGTGCGAAAAGTTTCGGAATAAAGGTACCTAACTGCAGTTACGGGTGTCTTACTTATCTTATATATACTTGCTTCTTGTCTTTTTTTTCAGCATATTAATTAATAAACACTTGTTTCAGTACATGCGTGTTGTTTCGCCTTACAACTTTGTCTTTAAGTTTTTTCTGAAAACAGAAATGACAGTACGTAGGTGATTGACCGATAAAAGCTATCATTCAGCAAGGGTAAACTGACAGCAGTGGTGACATCATCCAGCTAGCTGATAACTACAACCCACTTTTCTTTGTGTCAGCAATCAACTGTAGCCACAATCATCCGGTTTCACCCCAGTTAATTCGAGGCACAATTCACTGGTTTCATTAGCGCGAGCGTACAATGGTTACCACAGTGCTTAACCCGGTTGTTCTCTTCACAGGTGGCAGTTGTGCGACTACTTCAGGATCGCTCAAGAAACAAACGGTTCCTTTAACTGGAGGAGCTTCGACGGAATTGCCAAAAATGACGTATCAGTTTCATGTGCATGACTGCGGTTCACACTACTGGCACTCTGCTACCTTTCCAGGTGAGGTTCCAGTCCCTCGTTATAGTGTTTTGTGGGTCCCGTGAGAGGAATTAAATACATAGACAAATATTATTGTATACTTCGCGTCGCTGTGAAGTGATATTCTAATTTCTCCTTTAGGAGTGTTCTACAGTTTTGTCTTGTGTCGCCACAAACACACACACATACAACTGTAGCCTCACCTATATGTGGTTGCAGGGGTGAGTCTTAGCTCACCTTGCCCGCCTCTTCACTGGTCGTACCATTTCACTCTCTCCCTGTTCTCCTTGATATTTGTCATACTCTTCTTAATGCTATTTATGGGAACTTGCTTCCACTACTTCACTCTCCAGATTATTTCAGTTCCTGACAACTCTAAGACTAAAGAAATACTTCCTAACATCCTTTATGACTCTTCTGGGTTTTCAGTTTCGATTTGTGGTTTTCCCCCTGTTTCTGTATCCATCTCTGAAACTTCGATCCTTGTCCACCTCG